AGGGCCGAGTGGGTGTTAACTGCAAAACATACACAAAGTTAACGGAAGATAAACAACCTAAGTCCATATATGGTCCTTTTTAAGCAGCCGTTCAACTCGACCAAGTAAATTCTTCACCCCTTTCAAAAATGTTTGAGCTTATATAACAAATATCTAAATATTATAATCAGTAGGAATTGAATGAGAGAAACAGAAATTAGAAAAGTCTTTATTGATATAAAAGTCGCGGTATTTGTAAAAAGCGTGTCAACACTGGTTTCTGAACAATCAAAACTGAAATACTTTCCAAAAATCTTTCTTAATAAAATCCATAGTTTTATGCAAACACTTCACAGACTTATACAGGCAATTTTCTTCAGAAAACAAAACTTAATTATTATGTCATTATCATTATTATTGTTATTATTATTATGCCGTCATCTTTTGTGCTCGCGGATCGTTTAAAATTTTGGGAAATTACAATGGAGATTACAGAAATGGGATTCTTGAAGTTTGCTACCATATATGGGCATATTGGATCTTCAGGTATGACTCATATCAATAAAGCTCAAATGACACCAACGAATTTTAAATCGTAGTCACAAACTGCGATTACAACCCCAAATATATAAAATAATATATTCTTATCTCAAGGGGACCTGATCTTGAATAACTTTGATCAGGAAGAATCACTTAACAAAAAAAACGTAAACAGTATGTGGGCGTTTGAGTGGAAGGTGTGTCACGGAAAAAGATGTTGTCCGTGAAAATAGTTATCAGTCAATCAATCTCTGGAGATCTTGAGACAATTTATAGAACAGTTTATATTGTATAAATCTTTGTGGACGTACCGCTTCAAGTGTAACAAGGATACTATAAGCAGATGTTGAGGTGGGCACCAACGATAAATGCGCTCACTTCCCCTTGACCGCCGGCGCTTGCATTTCCAGTTATTTAGTTCAAGCATATTTCTCAGTCCCAAGCAATTACGATTGCTGTGGTCAAAACGTAACGAATAGAAATACAGTCACCGTGCAACCATTAATACTTTGCGTATCTAGATCTAGTAGTATGATTTCCGCAGACTATAGTAAATAGCAGCGGGGAACAACTATGGGTGTCCATTTAATGGCGGAGATTTCCATGTCTTATGTATCTTTGTAAAAGTGGCCGAGAGAGTTAATTGTGCAGCTAGATATGGGGCAGGGGCAGGCCCTTAGCCGTTAGGTTAATGAGAGATCGCAGATAACATTGTAGTGAAGAAATTTAGTTGAAGCTTTGAACCGCTTCGATCGATCATTTACTGACATCACGGCATTTTGTGCATGAAATCCGAATTTCAGTTTAGAAAGCACCACTAGACCAAAAACTAATGAACGGCAAAACAGTTGTAACCTTTAAAATTGTCGTAAGTTTAAAATATAAATTCCTTGTCACCTTCGACTGTTTCACGCATGCCTCCTTTTTCCAACGGGACGTTTTGCTAGAAAGGACGCGAGGCTGTGATCAAAAAGTCACGTAATAATAAATGGAAACACTCGCATCACGCCAAGAATTCAATACGCGTGCCCTGATTTACGAGCTCGCCCATCGATATGCTCGGTCGTTCAACAAGACAGGATGATATTACTAGTCAGAGCAAAACGCTCAACTTGTGGCTCGGTCTGATTACAAAATTCTACTTAGCTGGTAGGAAAGTGTATAACTAAACTTCCTTACAACAGAAAGTCACGTTCGACTTTTTCATAACTCCTTTTCCCAAGAGGACGTTTTACATGGAGACAACGTGAGGCCCGGCTGTGGTCAGAATGTGACTTAAAAATAAATGAAAACACTCCAATAATGACACGCGCGCCCACATTTGGCGGAAAATCAAGAGGAGAGGAGAAAACGCGTACACCTGTGGTTCAGTCTCAACTCAAAATGTTGTTAGTAGGAAAGAGTTTAGTGTATTAACTTCCTTATCCAAGTTAGTCACTTTCGAAAATTTTGTTTCTCCTTTTTCCAACGTACAGCTGTACGGAGCGTTTTACTTGACACGACGCGCGGCTGTGTTCAAAACGTGACGTGAAAGTAAACCTATCACTCTAAAGGTTTATCACGCCTAGCTGTCAACAAGTTCGCCTAGATTTAGCGTGGAAACTTTTCAACGCGTCATTGCGTCTTCAGTCACGTTTAGTTGTCTCTACCTAATCCACCAGCAAACTAAATTACTATACTTCTGTCGATCAGACTACCATAATTCTTTAAGTAAGAAAGCATTAACTGAAATAAACAGAATAGCAAATGGCGTGAGTAGATAGAATAGAAAACGCGTGACTCCTCAAAAGCTACATGGTCAAGAACACAAACCCAATTCCAGAGTAATACCGGTATTACCAGCCCTTGAAAATTTTAAAGTTCCGTGTCTTAATTACCGACAAATTGCACATAGAAGTGTATTTTCCTCAACACATTATTTTTGGTGACAAAACCTGCGATAAAATTAGCAACCATACCTGTATGCTTTAATCTCCGATTGGACGTAATAACGAGTGTGAATTTTATTCTCTTCGCGCTAAAGACCGTGTCCCCGTCCTTGAATACAAAGAATGTTTCTTTTCTTTTGGCTACAGCTGCAACTACTGTTATTTTCAAATACTACACGGAACAGAGGTAGTATAGATACTCGAAAAACTTACATAAAAACTACATGTCATCTGCTCTTATTTTTGTTAGTTAAAAGTTCAGTGACAATCTCAGTGACAACTCAGGAGCTCTTCTCGGTGATGAAGACTCGCCAGTACCCAAAATTGGAAACGGGGGGGGGGGTGCTTGGGTTAATTTTTGCTGGGTATGTGCCGCTGGCCTCTTAGAGTCCCTGCTCCATTATAATCTATTCTGTGGCCAAATATAAACCCCATCCTAGTTACTTTTGGGAGAATGTAATTTTCGCGATCCCAACTTAGTAACTTTCTGTTTATGCATCCACCTTATAAAGGCTTTTAACTTGGTCATCCTGAAATGACTTGCACATGCATTGGTTACATGAAGCAAAAATCTTCCCGTGAACTCTAATGAAAATGCAACCCCATTACAGTCAATCCAGTCGTGAAAATGCGACCCCCCCAGCGGCACATTGCCATTAGCCTGTTACTAAGAGGTACATTTTTGCGGAAAAAATGAATTCCTCATTTCAATTCTTGGATAATTCTTGAAGACTGATGATTAGTGAACTGGAGTTATCTTTGATAATTTACTGCGCACCTCGAGCTTTTGTAAATTTGTTCGGTCTCTCAGTCAATACATCTGGGTTCCAGGCCGGGCCGATTTCAGTCGGGATATTCATAATAAAGAAAAGCGCGCATCAAATATTAGGCCGGATGAGGCTGGTTTCACCAGAAATTTCTGCTGCTGAAACGAGATGATTTAGCTGTAAAGAGACCTAAAACATCACAAAACTTACTCACATACATTCCAATTATGCCCGGTTAAAGTTAGTACTGACATCACAAATGCGGTCCCCGTTCGCTTCCTTTGGTGTAAGTATTGTGGAGGGTTGTTGGCGGAAAACCCGTTTCGAGAAGTTACTGGAAATGATCTACTGTAGAAATGAAATTTTGTTCTGTGATCACCTGAAAGAATTCACTTAATATAGTTTCGAATAGTTCCTTAGTGTTAAAAACACCAGTGTAGTATTGTCAGCTTCATGATATGAAGTCGTTGTTATGCAGGGTTTCATTCAGTCATAGGACATTATTGATTCCTTTGATAATTTCATTTAAAAGTGTTGTGAGCGAAGGGCTGACACATGCATACACTCACGGCCAAGCTCTCGGTCCTTTCCTTTCGTTCACTTACTATAAATTACAGGAGCCACTTGGCTACCGACAGTGTACCTAGGATTTCAAAGTGGTGGACAATTCCATAAAGTTTAGTCTCCAGCATTAAGCAAACAAAGGCAAACAAGGAGAAAACGGTCTACTAGAAGTTATTTAGGGTTCTATTGACGATAGTCCGTAATAAGATTGCGCAGAAATTTTCTTAGAAATATCTCTTTTTCAGGAGCAATCAGTGTCTGCAGAGAGGGAGGTAGCGGCTTCACGATCAATCCACGAGGCCTGACCAATACCAATAGAACTAACTCTTGCCAATATTCAGGTTCTTAAAATAACCAAGAACTTTATCCTGCAAAAGGTAAAGACCTTCGCGTGACTTGGATGACCACGTAAAATGGCGGTCCCGTGTCAAGAAGAAGACGTAAAAATATGTTGTCCTCAATTAGTACTTTCGCCCCAAATAGATCGACTCTCGAATGTAGTAAGCTTGTGAACCAGTAGTTACGAACTACAGGTGTGTGATGACACCTAAACGAAGTTTAGAAACTCTTCCTTTTTTCAGAGGCTAAAAAAAGGAGTTGGGGCAGGAGATGTCCAAGGAAAGGAAAACTTATTGAGAAGGGGCTAGAATCGCAAAGCCTTCAAATATTCTTTAAGTACAAAGTCGTAGGCTCGCTGATATTCGCGAGCGCGGTTGTCTTGTTTACTTAAACACGCCAACTACGAGAATATCAACGGCGAGACGTTCATGCTAAAACTACGCCGAAGAGAAACCTTTACTAACAAGGTACCCTCTAAAAATAGCGTATCTGTCAGTTATGATGTTGACTTCGAGGGATTCATGCTAAAACTACGCCGAAGAGAAACGTTTACCAGCAAGATACCCTCAAAAATAGCGTATCTGTCAGTTAAGATGTTGACTTCGAAAGTTCCCCAAGACCATGTTGACACAACCAGATGGTACTGGACTTAAAACTAACCAGCACGCATCCATTAGCATATTTACTCTTCCCCATAAATGTCCTCTAGCAAGCTAGTAAAGGTTTTGCACCAAGAAAACAAGAAAATTTGGAAACAATTAATTTGCAGGTTGAATTGTTTATTCTTTCTTTTAATTTGAGACGATTGCTCATCCATCATATTGTAACGTTCTCTTTTCACATATATTATAATAAATTCTTTTATCTTTTTTAACTTTACAAAATATCCCTGGGTATATTTATCTTATTTTTATATTAAATTCTATCAACATATTGTACAAAACTTCATGAGGCTCATTATTTAATCCAATAGCCACTTGAGTTGAAAAAAATATTTCTTCTCTGTAACATTTCTCAATATTTTGTTCAGTTATGTCGTTTGGGCACGTAAAAAGCTATGACTTATGAGAAGTCGTGTCTCATTAAAGCTAAGATAACAAATTATCTAGAGTTATAAATTTTGGTAATTTTTTCAGAACAGTATTTAAGAACAGCAATGCTAGAATTCTGCTAAGAGTTGAGATTGATATTACTTCTCCACATCTCAGTAACCCTTCAAGTCCCAATATCCACATACAAATTCTCCAGCCTGTCTCCATACATTTCCTTAGAGAATAAGTTGGGAGAATTTGATAACATATCAAAGCATTCCCCCTTTGACGATCATTTTACCAATTCTTATAACCTTTTCTATTGATTTTGTATGAATATTGTAAGGAGAAAAATGACGTTGGTCACTATTGGGAGTTGAAGGGTTAAGTGGTTTAAAATGAGCAACATGGGTAATGAATCCATTAAAAAAATTTCAGAAGAAAAGTCAAGAGCAGCAAAGAACGCGACTGATCGAAAGAATAATGGAAAATGAATAAATTTAACTCTAGAAATAACAATGATATGAAATGATAACGATGATTTTCAGCCCTGGCGACTGGGGATTCAAAGGGCCCGATGTAAAGGCTTTACAAATTTTCTGCGCATTTCTTCCTCTGAATGTAATCACTTGGACTCACTCTAATTATCTAAGGCGAAGTAACAAGCCCAGGTGAGTTCTGCTTCGCAGTCGTTAATTCTGATCCACACGGAAAAGAAGGAAAGCTAAAGAAACCATAGGAAGAAGAGCTAGAGCTATTCGTGGGAGTGCCCGACAACAGTTCATTACTTGATGTTAGTTCATTTGAATGAGTCTCAGTTTCCCAGTTCAATAATTGTCCCATAAAGTTGAAGTTAGGAGAGATGACAGATCGTCGCTTCTTCACATATTCATATGCTTCGTCAAGGCGGAGCCTGTATCGACGGATAAGGTACGCAAGACAGATGGTTGCTGATCGTGAAATACCAGCTTGACAGTGAACTAATACTCGGCCTTTGGAGTCCTTTACTGAATCTACAATGAAAAACAGTAGAAACAAAACGTTAGACAAGCAATCAAACACTGTAAACCAATTATACAACTATTAGAAGTCGGGAAAGAGAATACGTTGGACTTTTGTAAAACGTGATCTCGTTCACACCCACGAACTGTTTACAAAACATTTACTAATTCCTCCAAGCTGCGGTTTACCAGTATTTACAGTAGAATATCTTACCGCCTTATAATTTTATCGTACCATCACAATTGACTAACACTAGGCAATTAAAAGTATTTTAAAATATAATTGACAGTGCGCCATCCAGCCTGTTCTCGTCAGTATAAACTTTTTTTCTCGTAAAACAAATTAGTAACGAGTTAAACCAAGTTTCACACAGTTTTATTTTGGGTTTAAAGACAGGAAACTTTTTCTCACCGATGAATTCGGCTGCCTCTTCAAACCAACTACCAATATCTGCATTATATGTGTCATCCACAGGGATTGATTTGTAGTAAAATGTTCCTTCAAAAAAGTTCGGGATGTTTCTTGATACATTCACGATAGATGTGATTCCGAGTCGTTGAAGTAGCTCTTTTTGCGAAGCGTGAATTTCACTTCCTATATACAAATGCGGTAGAATTTCAACCGGCTCGTTTTGCTTTACTGAAGAACTTGATCTTTTTTCACAGTCTTTGCATTCTGTATCATATCTGGGGCTATATGTCCTTTTTGAATCTTTACTTTTAAGTTTTAATCCAAGCGGGCTGGGGGTGGCCGGTGCGGCAACATTTGGCTTGGCGAAGTAGCACATAGAAGGATACGATGTCGAAAATCTTTCAAAGCCTCCTGAAAAATGACAAGGGGATCAAAATTAAGTCAAACACTAAAAAAACACTTACGAGGAAATAACACTCAATAAAAAACTCATATTAAAGGAAGTCTATTTTTAGTGTAGCCAAAGGAAGACTTATTGCTATGAAATTCCCAAGCCAACATCGGCTTTTCGCGACCAAATTATTTCCGAGAGTCGCGAGGTACGTGTCTCTGTGAACCATGACTAACAAATGTGACGTAATGTCATTAAGTGCCAGATTCAGTGAAAGCGGTTCAACTGTTTAACTGTTGTTCAAAGAGAAAAGAAAAGCCTTTATTAAAATTTTCCTGTGGTCAACTTTTAAAGTGTGAAAGTTAATAAATATTATAAATACATCTAAACAAGTATTGCGAAAGTTAACTCGTTAAATGAGTATCTTTGTTTAAAAAGGGTGCTTGAAAACACTGGTTTCGAGATAAATCACGTTTCTGCGTGTTAGTGGATTCGGGATAACCGGTTGTGGCAAGAAAAACAAAAGCTAAAAATGACCGTGAATAAAACGATCCGCACATCTGCAACGGAAACATTTGGTATTCAAGGATATCCGAGGGAAAAAAAATCGCTGATTTGTTTTACTGAAGGAAACTGGGACGGATGATGACTACACGTGATCCTTTGTTTTGCTCTTAGAAAGTTCCCTCCATTTTTAAGACAAAGAAACTCATTCATTCATGAATACTAAATGAAAAGCACACATAATTAATATGTACTCATAACTACGTTTTAGCTTTGTTTTGTTGTATTTATCACAACATTCACTTCAGTCATTCAAGCGAAACTAGCCGATGGATATTCGGTGGCCTTTACCCCTTCATCGATTTAGCTTGAAACTGAAACCACGAATATACGATCCGAAAATGGCGTGATTTAGAAATAACGATGATCTGATATGATAAAGAAGTAGTCACACAGGCAATAAACACGTGGCCATCTTAACAATAGATCGAAACTTAGTACTACACAACCAAGTAAGAAATCGATAATGAAGGACAGAAACCTACCTTTGATGAAATATAGGTTCTTATCTATTCTTTCTCTTCTTAAAAGCATGAAAATAATCCTCATTGTGTTATCCTTTTCCAGTTCGCTCCAGTCTTGTGTTCTGTCCTCGTATAAAATCAAAGTTTCTGCCTCCGCGAGACGTCGTTTTGATTCAGGTGATGTTAGAAGGCAGTCTAGAGTCGATGAACCTCGATGGAGTCTTCGTTTCAAGATAGGTGGGCAGTGTACGTTTAGCGCGCCTCTGATGTGGGCAGAGTTGAATGACAGAAACGAGCGGCAGTCAATAACCGTGCACTTCTGAGTGAGAGAACTGGCCATGTTTACAACAGTGAGTGGGGCAACGGGCCAAATTAAATCGTTTTCATCCATTACCACCATACTCTTTGATATTCAGTAAGTATCAAGATCTTTCCTTGTTTGCTGAAACAAATCGGAGATGAACAATTATTTGATGACTCCTGCTACTAGTGCTGTGTGTGTGCTTTTGACCTGACTTCAGTCTTAACTGACGAGTAATTCAACAAGCCCGCGTTTATATTCTTTTATTCCCGCCCATTTCTCTCATGCGCTATTTTTGTCGGTGGTGACGTCACTAAACCAAGGCGTTTTGTCCTGTCGTGTCGAGAATCACGAGCTTTGCTGTCATCTCATTTCCTTTATTAGTTGAAAATCAATACGCCGTTGACGGAAAAACAATACAGAAACAATTGAAAACATTTCGCTCATGACAGAAATGTTATCAACCGATCAAGTGACGTATATTTTGAATTTTAATGCTTTCAACGAGGGCAACAGAGCGCTGAGAAACAAACACTTTGCGCAATTTGTATTTGAAAAAACAGATAAAGGTTAATTCCAAGTGACGAAAGCATAGCATTTTTTAAATATCCGTAACATCTAACAAAACTATGTTGCCATGCAAAATTGGGTCTATAAATTACTTCACTAGACCAGAAAAGAATGGTAGAAATTCTTCGTTCCTTTTTAGTTTTAGAAGTAGTTTGAATGAATGTGTTGGAATTCAGGACATTGTTTAACTTTCAGTTAAACCTCCAGACCAGTTTTCAGTTGTCATTTTTTTACTCACAAAGATCAGTTAAACTAACGCATTTCTCAGCTGACAGCGGTTCAGATTTTTTACTCTGCGGCGCTGCTCTTTTTATTATCAAGTCAAAACATGTTCCTTGCAAGACAACACAAGAAGCAATTTAATATCCCCGCTAATTAATCATTTATTTTTTTAACAAACAAACTGATTACAGTGATTACTCAATACTCTGATTTACAACAGTCACCCACTAAAATAACGTGTTAGAAACTTGTTAGCCTGTGATGTAGGAACGCTGACAAACTCATTTTTAGCTTTTTTATCTTTCAAAGTCGATCAAAGGCAATGTAAAATGGACAGTTTTTAAAAAATGCCGTTAACTGTAGTTGCCCATCCTCGTCTAATCTTCGACTGATCCCTTCTTTGGCGCCATCTGCGTGGCCAAATGGTTCTATAAGGAATAAACGCTTGCTTAGGAATGTACACCAGTTATTGGAGTTGATATTCTGTCTAACCGCAAAAGCCTCACCTAGAAGCATTCCTGCTAATTGCTCCAGATGGTTACCTATCAAATCACCCAATTTACAAAGGTTTAATGTCCACTTCCCCCAAAGAAAACAAGCCGAAACCAGTACAAAAATCCAGTTTTCAACCCTTAAAGGCGACCATAAAGCCTAATATGCTTATACAAGTTATCCGCTTCCCTTTCCCCATTATATAAACTCAACGAACAAAAGACGTTGGGTGTTTTCGGCCTGCGGGTACCCAACCGCCTAAAATAGAAGAATACAGGGATGTAAACCGCAGTTTCAGAGAGAATTGTATATAAAAAATCACCAACAAAGCTTTATAGTGTAATAATTACGGTCGATCTTAAAGACTATTTTTGAATAAAAAATTAATTTTTACTGTCTAGGTAGAAGAATAAGGCAATCACTCCTGGCAGTTCCCTCATAGAATAGTGGCAGACGGTCAATTGCGTGATTTTTACAGCCTGAGCTGACAAAGATTAAAAGTAAAAACTATAATGCGATTTGTATTATCACATGCACACCCCTCTTCCGTCAAAGCTTAAAATATTCTTGAACACCCCTCTTTATTTATCTATTCGGATGCTTGGTTCATTTTTGCGGCTGGTTCAGCATGTGTCTAATTTGTTTTCAGCTTAAGCTTAAGGAAATGTAACGGACAAAAACAAGCTACAATAGCATAGTTCGGAGGACCTTTTGTAGCCTCGCCCTTTCCATGCTCTGTGTATGCCGATTTTCCTTAATAAGAAGTTGGTCAAAACAAACAGGTGCAATAAAATGATATTTTTCCTGTGCGAGAAGGAAGAGGAGGAGGAGAAAGGGGGAGGTGCGATAGAAGTGGGCGTTTCCACTTGTTCACAGTTCGGTATATTTGCTGCAGGGAAACGTCTAGTTAACCAACATCGAGTCTTAAAATGTTCTCATCGTTTCCACCCCCAAACGGGTCGGTATATTGTCGCAGGAAAACGTCCATTAACCTTAAATTGCTTGCAAAAAACGTTCTCACCATTTAGGACTTGCTTGATATTTTATTAAAGAAAGAGAGTCGTCAAAGAAGAGTTAACGAGGGCGTTGTCACAGTTATTTTTCCAGTCAAGGAGCGGTTTTAATTTTTTTGTACATGTATTATGGGATTTGACAGAAGAACCGCAGTGATGAACCACATGAATCAGATGAAAGGCATGTAATGACCAAGTTTGATAAGCGTCAGTTACCATTATAGATAGATAGATAGATAGACAAATAGTTTATTTATAATCACATCGCAACCGAGAGCTTGAATTAGGCGATTATTTACAAATAATTATGATTGCTTAAAAATACTACCACTAATAAGTTAAATTCTATAAAGAAAAATAAGAGAAGTGAATAACAGAAACAATACATGAATACATCACAGTAAAATTGTGATTTGTTTAAAAAAATAAAATAAATTTTAAAAAATAGCAGCAGCAGCCGGAAAGGGTCTTTATAAAAAACTAAATGCCCAGTAGCCGGAGAATCTTCGAGAATTTCTGCAAAATCCCTTTTTCTTATCGTTTGAAAGTATTCTATTTTTTTCATTTAGAGAATTCCCAAGCGATCAGGAAAGCATGAATGGCTTGGCAGCTAAGTTGTTGTGGTTTCTTGGGCATAGAGTAGCGTCGATGATGTTTCGACACTTAACATTTTGGTGTGGCTATATGCCCACAGCCGGGAAGGGTCTTAAAATAACTAAGTGCCAGGCAGTCAGAAAATGTTCTGGAATTTCTGCAAAATTCCTCAGTTTTTCTAATCGTTTGAAAGTATTCTATATTCATTTAGAATAATCAAGAGATCAGGAAAACAGAACGGGCTATGCAGCTGAGCGGCCATGTTTTGCTGATCGCTTGGTAATTATAATTCAAGATAGAACAGGGGCACCCAACGAGAACGTAGTTCAAAACCACTTAAACATAGCATTGTTAAACGTATTTTAGTATTTAAACGGTAAATATAGGCATATTTTTATCCCCTAGCAATTTTTCATGTGTTCTGATTTCCTAGCTGAAAGTTTAGTGATCCGAAAATTATAGGGATCAAAACTTACCTTTTCGAAAATTTCAGGCACGAAAAAGGCTCCCGAAAATTCTAGGCGACCTTTTAAGGGTAAAAATCCGTTAAAAATGGGCAATTATACCATTTTTTAGATGGTCGAAAATCCTAGGAGAGGCAGGCAAGTAAGAAATTTTACAACAAATGTACACGTTCCGAAAATTTTAGATCGCAAATCGTCTTCCGAACAGATATTTTCCGAAAATTGTCATTGGGTGCCCCTGATAGAATACTTTCGATTCACACGAGTAGAAAAAAGGGATTCTCTTCTCTAGTTGCAGAAATTCTAGAAAATTTTCTCACTGCATGGAGGCATATAGTTTTTTAAGACCCCGCTTCCCGGCTGGCGGGCATATAGCCGACTAATAAGCGTTCCGAGTTAACCGTACCTAAAAACAGAAATTTGGTAATAAGTTGTTTAGGTGAGCCATTTCTAGTTATTATCGTCCTATAAATAACGTACTATTAATAAGAGCCAACGTAGTAGAAACGAATTTTCATCCATCTCCCATATTAATGGTTTCTCTTAAAAAACAAAAATATTTGTTTCTATTGGTACGGTGACTAATAATCACTATTTTTAGCGTTTAAGCGGATTTAAATCAGATCAGTATTCGTTATTACCCACTTTTTAAGCTTTTTCTCAACTGTGCTTTATAATTCTTATAGAAAAAAAACTTTTGTTTTAATTTGACGAATCTTCATATTCTAAGCTAAGCAGATTTTGAAAAGTAGCTGTGTAAATTTCTTATCATTCTTGGTGAGCCGGATGTTTCGGCATATATTGTCAGTTTACGTAGTACTGGGAGGAAGCCGGGGGAGTTGTGAAATTGCGAGCATAGTTCCAGGTGATATCAGAGTTCCCACGGATGCGCCGGTAGCATTCCACGGAGTGTAAACTGACGTTAACTTTTAACCCGCAAGTTAGCAAAACATCTTTGTTTATTTCTATCAACGGACAAACAATTCTAAAATTATTCGCCATGTCCCACATTATTGAGGCCGATTTGTATTCAGTTTGCATCTGAGTGCAATGTCAGTTGCGCGATGTATGGTTGAACAGGACAACTGGCCAGCAATACTGTTGGTGACCACCTTAAAGATGACAAACCCTGTTAAATTTGTGTTTTTGTTTTTGTTTTCATTTTACATTGCTTTGAAGCGATGAAAAAGGCCAATACTTGTCTAGCTTTTAAAAAAGACGTTGCATAGGCAGATAACAGTATTCTGTATGTCCACTGCACAGGGGCACCCAACGAGAATATAGTTCAAAACCACTTAAACATAGTATTGTTAAACGTATTTTAGTTTTTAAACGGTAGATATAAGCATATTTTTATCCCCTAAAAATTTTTGATCTGTTCGGATTTCCTAGCTGAAAGTTTAGAGATCCGAAAATTATAGGGATCAAAACTTACCTTTTCGGAAATTTCAGCCAGAAAAAAGGGTCCCGAAAACTCTCGGTGACCTTTTAAGGGTAAAAATCCGTCAAAAATGGGCAATTATACCATTTTTTAGATGTTCGAAAATCCTAGGAGAGGCAGGCAAGCAAGAAATTTTACAACAAATGTTCCGAAAATTCTAGGTCTCAAATCGTCTTCCGAACAGATATTTTCCGAAAATTGTCACTTCCGATTTCGTCCAATGAGCCGATACAGCCCAACTCTCCTTAACTCAACTAAAAGGGATTCCAGTTCACCGACCACTCTCCCAGTCCTTTACTCCAG